AGGGAGCAAATTTCTTTTACTTATAAGCCGAGTAGGATTATAGATAAATATATCCCGATGCTTGATGGCAAATCTGTGCGTGCATACCTTCAATTTGAGACCTCAATCATGAAAATCGGTCGGGTAGAAGAGCCAATCGAACTCGGCAAAGATAAACCAAATTTAACTCCCATAAGAATAACATGGGAAGCAAATTTCTTTTACGTATAAGCCGAGTAGGATTATAGATAAATATATGCCGATGCTTGATGGCAAATCTGAGCGTGCATACCTTCAATTTGAGACCTCAATCATGAAAATCGGTCGGGTAGAAGAGCCAAACGAACTCGGAAAAGAAAAACCAAATTTTTTTAATATATAAGATAACATAAAAATAACTGTAAACAATCCTAATTTGTCAGTTCTCGTTGCGTATCACAGTTTTCTGTTGCTGCTTAGTTCAAATTAGATGTTTTCATAAATGAAAAAGGATTTTAATGCTGCATCCTGTTGGTAAATCTTGTAACTTTTTAATGGTTTTGCATAACATAGAACCAACATTTTAGTTGAAACCGCTGACTAAATTCTTTATTCCCTTTAAATATGAATACTCATAAGGTTAACATGGGGAACCACAGAGCCACTTGGGCGGAGCCCGAAAGGATTTTTGAAATAAAAATATGTCTCTATGTTAATCGGGAATGTTAGCTATAATCATGCCAAATTTCAGCTCAATCCGTTCAGTAGTTAATGCGTGATTGAACTTCAAACAAACACACAAACTTTTACATTTATAATATTAGTAAGATATAATTGTATTACGTATAAAAAGTCGAAATCATCTCTCGCTACAGCTAATCACATCATTTTCACTTCGTAACGAGGATCTTTTAGACGTTAAACTATAAGTTCCATATCGTAAAAACAGTGCAAGAATAGAAAGACTTTAACAATGTCTTATAATAAATGTAGAATTTCGAGAGAACACGTACTCACAATGTTAGCGGTGACGTGGAGGCAAGGTTTTATTGTTATCTGGGAGTATTACAAGAAACGCCACGGGCAAAATTTTCTTTAGCTTAGATTTTTCAAGATTAATAATAGTTTCTAATTTTTTTATTTAGGAAAGTTAAATCATTCCGAAATCAATATGACAATAATGTATTACCGTTTTGATTTAACTTGTTACTTTAGACTATTAAACAAGCTAAATGAAATAAAAGGCTGTAATCACAGTATTTACCAAATATTGAGTTCTGAGATTATGGGACTATAAATGGATTGAAAATCGAGCAATTTTGATTGTATATCCCTTACCAAATCCACATCTTGTCCTTGCAAAATGTATTGATAAAGTATGCATTTTTACAAGTATTAAATAAATAACCTCTTGATTTACTCTCCAAAAGTATTAAATGTTACAATGTCTGTATAAAACGTGTCCTATTGGAACTGTGAACTAGTTTTCTGTCTCCAAGTAGTGTCGTCACGCCCAAATAATATTTCAACCCTTCTCGAAGGTTAGTGGAGCTGACGTACCTTGAAATTGTTTTCTCAGCTACATTCTTTTCCTGAAGACACACACCCTAGTTTTTTCATTGTTTTATCATTATTTACCATCATTATAGCAATATGTTAATCAATTGTAGATTAAGTAAATAATATAAAAAAAACGTGACGGTCAAACATTTTAGTCAACTTCAATACATTTTAAATTCAGCAACGTTTAACTTATGCCTAATTATTTATGTTTAAAAATAACTAATAATTCATTTTATTTCTTGTTTTGAAGTATTTTAATAAATTATCTTAGGCTGTTAAATCGAGTGGGAAGATACTTTAGAAATCATATTATCATGCTCTTTATTATTACTCTAAACTGAACCTAAATTAGTTTTTGATCTAGAGATCTAAGCTTACAGAGCAAGTTAACTGACATTAACATTAACTAACAACATTAACTAACATTAACATTAGCTGTTACCCCTATTATTTAACACGTAAGGGTAATATTTTTGATAGCTGGGAAATCAGAGGCATAGTTTTGATGAAAACCTTTCAGAAAATATATTACCAAAATTATGTCTTACAATGACAAAAAGATTTAACAAGTTAAAAAACCATCAATAAGAGTCCGAATATAAATAAATGCTCGTCTAGTTTTACATGAGCATTTATAAATTTTAAAACCTGTTGCTTTTGTATCAGCTAAATTGGATCCAAACAAAATATTGCATAATAATTCTGATGAAGTAACAAAGCAACAGTTGCTTTACAAAACAATACTCGATTCTAAACAGCTGATAGGAGTGAAAATCATTACCTAATCGGTCTGTGGTCATTTACTCATTTGCATACAAATAGTGTGTTCCTTTTACTCGCTTCATGTAAACATAGTCATAGAACCAATGGCATCACTGAGTTGTGCAGACAACAGACACTCAATTTGTTATTCCCATAAACAAGTTATTAGTATGTATTTTCAATATTGCAATTGTGCCTGAACAATTAATCAAAACTGTATAAATCACTGTGTGTGGTTATACACAACAATTGATTACATTTTCAATTAGATTAATAGACTGATTAAAATGTATATGTTTTAAATTTTCATTTCAATCGACCTAATTTGTCGATTAAATTATAATGTATTGTATGAGTTGAATGTATTAAATATATACAGTTAAAAGTCATAGATTTTGCAATAAAGCTTTTGTTTTTTATAGTTTATAGCATAAACATTTGTATACTCCATATCGAAAAATTTCGAGAAAGTAAAAAAAATATATTTTCTACATCAATTACAGCAAACATAAACTAAAATATATTTTTGTATTTTTATTATGTTTTATGTTGTAAATAATAGCTGAAATACGAACTTTATTCACTCTGTCATTAGGTGTATAATATTTAGACACTAAAGTCATTTGTACAACACACATGTTAATTTACATTGCTCTTTAGTCGCAGCAATATTAAAGGAAATAAAGTAGTTCCAAAGCAGTACAATCAGGTCCTCAATACATGAAATGCAATCTTGGATGCATCAAACATCCGTTTGTTTGCTGCATGCAATTTTGAATGCACAGTCGATTTTTAGTAGTTTCCCTTACTCTTAAAAGCACCTATCGCATTCATAAATTACAAACTTCCTAAAATCGATGGTGAAAGTGTAATTATTTCATCCGATGGGATGTTGTATACCCCCATTTTTCTCATCTGCGTCCCCTCCCCAAGCAAGACCCTTTGTCCATGATAAAGTCCCTAGGCTTACTATCTCCAATGAATCGTATTACGGTACATCATAAATATTAAATAAAGGTGTGATCAACTCTTTCTGCAATCAATAAAGTATTTACCCTATTGTTGACCATGATGTACACTATTTCATTTTCCATTATGTTACGGACCCCTATACTTTTATTATTTTCATGCGTGTAAGAATTCAACCCATTATCAGCAGCTTGATGTTCTAACGTCAGTGGTTTTATAAAGGCACGGACATCGTCAGCAAAGCATGTTATCGTGAATTTTTTAAATCGGAATTTTACTACTTATCGTCATGACCTCAAAGTAGTAACAAGCTCCCTTTAGTAGCAATAAACCTGCTATTTCTCAGAGAGCAATTTTGTACTAATAAAACTATTTATCTCGTAAATATTTTCAAAATTAGTAATTTTAGGAAATAAAAATGTTTAATGAAATATATACAAAAATATAATGATTTTTTAATTTTTTTTACATAAAAACTCAAAGTGAGGACTTCTAAAAGAACAACGCTTTCAAACAGGGGTAATTTTAAGTAGAACTTCAAATTGAAGATGTGCATTTCTTATTTTGGATTATAGATGAGTTTTTTTCACCAATACATAAGACGAAAGAATAATAGGATAGGATATAGGATTATACGTATTGCAAGAATTATAAATGACTTAAATTAGTAACTGAGACGAAAATTAGAGTATTTAAAAATTATAATAAAAATTCTTACTTTTAGGTTATTTTAACATGGTTATTTCACGTGTTACTGTCATATGTTATTCACTCTTAAAGCAAGAAAGTTTTATTTTTGTCTAACTTTATTTGTCTGTTATCGACCAACATAAAAGGTATATTTTCTTTCGATAACTAATAAATTCGTAATGCTCGTTCCGATTTCGTTTAAGTTGGATTTTTCATGCAATATGTGTTTTCGTTTTAACGATTGTCATATTATAATTCGATGTAATATCTCAAATATGGCTATTTTGCTATAATAGCCTCGATATAATGATCTAATGGCTGTGATGTTGTCTCCAATGATATAACAATATACTTTTAATTTTTTAATCAAAACTTATATTTATATTCATTTACCATAGAATCTGCAGTTTTTTAAAGTCTATATCGTAAAATCGATGTAATGTGAAATTATTTGTATACAGCTATTCTATGTTCGTCAAACATTTAAAGGTATTGAATGTGCAGATGGGTGATTTGTATCTACGTAACGTATTTCATATTGTTAAAACTTAAAACACGTTTTATTTTTTGCGATAAGAAAAAAAAACTCTTGGTGATGATTATGGTAACTATACTTGTAACATAGTAGCCTTAATTTGATGACCTAATCACCATTATATTGACTCTATTATAATATCATGTCCTCCACAATATTTTTTATCAAAACATGGTTGTTTTATATTTTCGCTACCAAATCTATATATTTTTATGTCTTTCATAGTAGGCCCTACTATTTAACGCTACCGTAAAGTTAATTAATGTTTAACTATTCACATCGCACAATTGGACGTTCTTCAAAAATCTAAACAAATTTAATCCACACAAAAATTTCAACCATTTGAAAATAGTTTCGAATTTTAATTTGCTATCAGGACCAACTATTCTTATCAGTGATCTGACCTATGTTATCCTCCGTGCCAACTACGAGTACTAACATCGATATCTCTCTTGCAACCCCTGTAATGTAGGTGTTTTTCTATCCCCTATTTGGTCTACAGGGGCTCTGAGGGTAGTTTTACCTTATGAACGGTGTGGCTGAGTTGGGAGATCTAGCCCATGACACTGTACCACACACGGTGTCCGCACTGTGAGAAGGCCCGTCCGGGACTGACACAACTCCTGACACCACCCCCTGCTGGAGAACCAGGGAACTAGTGATGTACGGCCCCTGCCAGGTAGGAAACGTAAAACAATTACAAATACTTGTACTTCTTACACGACCAAAGTTTTACGTCCAGGAAAGTGTTATTTATTGCATTTTAATTTTAAGTGGTTGAATATAAATTTGATTATGATACTTGTAAGTAAATTACTTTCTTGTTACAATACATCTACAGAATGATGAAATTTATATCCACATTTTAACTAAATATTTAATATGAACACGTTTAATAGAATATTTAATTTGTATTCTTTAATTTTTATGTTTTGATAGAATATGCCTATGAACCAACATAATACCTAAAAGAATTTTTTACCGTTACATTTTTTGAGGTTATCGCTTGTTTGGGTAGTAATTAAACAAGTTTGCCGTTATAAAATTCTAGAAATTGGTTAGTGTTACACAATTCTAAACAATATGACTTCCTTAAGTATTGAGTGTATTTGTAGGCCTACCACAAACAACTTTTGGATCATACAGTGTAAAAAATATATATTTATTCAATATTTCATCCAAATTATTCATTTGGCTCAAACGTTAATTAATTAATATGCTATACAGTAGCATAGTAGTATACAGGAATCAAAATGGCATTGCTAAAAGTACCTACCAAACCCAAGTTAATTTTTTTTTGCAAGTTATTGTAAGAACATGCCATAAATATAAACAAACTATTATGCTTTTTTCATGTAATAATTATTTTCCCCAACAAGATCTTTTCTTTTTCCAACCCCCACACAGCTTGTAATCAAGTATTTTGTAAAAAATATTTTAATTACGATTTGTAAATAAAATTTCACCCCTTGAATCGTGATAAAAAGGACTGAATATTGTACATTGTATTTCCAACATCCAGTATCGCTATAACAAGTGGTCAGCTTGAGTGGTCGTACAATCACTTTGTGCCCTGCGCCTCTAGTCCTCCGCCATGACAGTTTTCCCCAGACCTGTTGCATGATACACACAAGTCCTCAGCCCTTCTATCCCGTGATATTTTATTAATAGCAGCTCCCCTCGACCTGGCCACTCATTCAATAGAACTGCTGATCATAGACACAATGTATTGATGTGTTGCAAGCTAAATACCAGTCTCGTTCCACCATCTTGACTGTAGCATTTGAATGATTTGTTAATAAAATGCAGTAAAACTGATTAAAATTATAAGTTGGCCTACTGTTAATGGATTAAGTTTATTTAGCCTTGAAAGTGGTTTAACCTCTTCATATAATAAGGAATAAAAGAGTTTTTATCATAATGTAAACTTCTAAGGGTGATTTATGTATTTAACCTAAGTAGTCTTTTTCAGATTTACCTCTTAACTTTGTACGTGTTTTGCAAAGTAATTTACCGAACAAATTAGTATCTCTCGACATGATAAGTCGATGTTATTTTAATACGCTCGTAAATAGAAATAGGAGTTCCCTGAACCCTTAAAAAGACCCTTAAGTTCCTTGTTTCAGGGTCTCTGCATGCAAAACCACAATATAGCTATGGTTCTTCCTAAATATTAATTTTTAACTAAAAAAAATACTTAATTGATTCAAACCACTTAGTAATCGGGATGAAAGATATATTCGTTGTCTACCATTTCATATAAATAGGAAATATAAAATGTTACGTTAAAGGCTAGTTTATAAATATTTCTTTGAAAAATGAATTCCATGGTAGGATTTCCAAAATACAACACACCCGATTGCTCCTTGTAGTAGCAACCTTAAATACTCATTGATTTAAGTCGTTTGACAAAATACATTATTCAAAAGGTTATCTCCTTTTGCTACGAATTTATTTGGACTGGAGTATTGACAAGAATGTCTAATGTCCAACACGCTTAAATAAGATGTAGAATATAAATTAACAGGAAAACAATACTCAGAATACTAGTTAAAGTCCCATATTGTGAGGCTTTTAAGAAGCATATTCAGTTTTTTTTGTGATTTTAACATAGTGAAGTTAAAAAATGTACAAACCAAATTTCACAATTTTTGGTATTATATAGCATTAAAAGGTGGTGAAAGGAAAGCTATTTCTTTTAACCAAGGAACGATTTGAAAATATTGCAAGACATTTCAGTACCTCCATGGAAAAATTCCTTCTGTATTTTCAGTATAAAACGGAGTTAAAATTGAGGATGTCATTTACGCGGGTAGTTGTCTAAATTGGCGGGAAGGCTATTTAGTTACCCTCGTCCTCTCAAACGTCCTATGTAGGTAGCATTGTAGATGCAAATTGGTGTCTGGTCTGTGATGTCTTTTCGTGTCTTGCATTACATTTGAGAGCTCAGGTTAAAACATTTTTAAGGCTAGTATGAATTTATACTTTTGGAATATATTTGAAGTTTAAACGATACGAAAACTATTGTTTTGTATTTGTAAATGTTGTCGAATTTATTTTTTTACAAGACTAATAGTAAAAGTTATGTTGATCCAGATGGTCGGATTATATGAAAATATTAATCCAGAATCCCTCTAATACTGAACCAACAGATGTTTTTATTACATTTAATTTCGGTATACGTTCTACTTTTAGTTGAATATTCTCCCACTCATGTAGAACCAAGATGTTCATATGTAAAATAAACTTGTAAAATATCCATACACTATATCATAAATATATCTATAATTTTTCCTCGTCGTACTCTTCATGCTAATTAGTCCAGGACTAATAGTCGAGACCAATCAGTGAACACGACTGTGCCTAATGTCAGTTTTCACCATGTAATTGGTACTTTCAGTATGCTTTGAGTGCATCGCTCATTTGACTAATTATTCATTTCATTACACAATAGCAATTTTACTATTAACAAATTGTATGGGGCGCTTAACATGGATTGTTTTTTATTCTCTCACATTGCGCTGTAAAAATGTTTACAAGTCTTTCTCAAGCTTCAATTGTTATGACTATTGACTGTATCATGGTTTCTCAGACATAAACGCTAGTCAAGACAAGTTGAAAGTAAGCCGAAACTTAATGACTGATGACCTCAAGTCGGGCGTTGACGGCGTAAGCTGCCTAAGTTACTAACTTCTGGTGTGGCCCAAATTGTATCTGTCAGAAAACAGAAGCTCCTTAAAGTAGCCATCGCTAGAAGACAGTTATTTTGTTGAGAATTCATTAAAATATTTGCATCATAGAGACGATAACTACTTATAATCCACCTTCTATCATTATGATCTTAAAATAAATGCTTAGCGTTATATCTAAGCATTTAAAGCCTTAATTGTATGAAGAATGAATTATTATAATGGCACGAAGGCAAGGATATTATGGTGTTCACGCATCTTTGTTCCTAGCAAAGACCATCTAACCACACCAGCATGGTGTGAAATTGTGAATTGTGAAATGCTAATTATATATGACTGCCATACCCATTTTGAACAATCAAAAAACTTTGCAGATTTTTTCCAAAGTCGAGCATAAACTTAAATCATGGTGTAAACTTTTAATCGTTGATGGGCAGTCCACAAATTATTGTTGATGAAAGATTTGTGCACTGTCTTAATAGGTCTTAATACCTTCTATATCTCTCATATGATACTATAGTACTATAGTATCTACTATAGTAAATAAGTACCTGGGGCCCGATCCATGGCTCGGTATAGTTATTTCGATTGTACCCCTATATCAAGTAATCTTTATTGTAATCTTTGCTCAATAGTAACAACTGATTCTTTTCCCTTTGGACCGTATTTTGTAATTTGCTAGTATACTGTCGATGGCTTGTTGTAAACACATGTTAGAAGTCTTTTGTTTACTTTTCCCTTGTAGTTCAACCAACATGGTTACTCGGCAACCCATAATGTAAATTTTAAAAAATTTGATTTAAAATTAAATTTGTTTACGTAGCTAGATTTTTGTTGGCAGTTTTAACTGCTTTAAACACGTTCTAGGCAAGAAATAAATTATTCACAACACTTAAAGGAAATCGTTGAAGCCGTTTTCGAGATCTTTGTGCATGCTAAAAGCATACATACAAGCAAGCCTTGCTCATATAAAAGCATAGGATTGTTTTATACCAAGTTACGCATGATACTTGCCAATTTTGCTGAATATGTTCAATTGTTATGGTTAATTCAATTGTTTGTTCGTGTCCTTGTACATTTCAGCAAATTGATTTTTAATAAATAATAAGACCAAATTACCGAAACGTAGACTTAAATCACTGATCAGTGATCATACAAAAAATAAATGTTCTTTTGTAGGAATAGGGCGCTGACAAGGAAGCGCATCTCGTGGATGAATAATACAATAAAAATATTACCCAACTTATCAAACTTTTACTTCAAGTCAATCAGGTAGTCCCATTAGGAGACACAACACAATCAATTTAGTAAATCACTATAATTTGAACATTCAAACTTTAAACTAAAACACTCGTCTAACCTTTGTATAATAAACTCAACAGGTCGGCTCCTTGTTATGCGAGGCTTGCAGTACTATCTCAACCTCACAGCGTCCTCATGATTTGCATTATAAATGGTCTATCACGCGGTCAGGGGTGATGAACACCACCTCATCTGATAACAGGGGTTCCTCTCGCTATGGAGATTATTGCATGGTTACAAAAATGAATGGCGGAAATTGTTGCGCAGTTACACATGTGAATGGCATAGAGTCAATATTTGGCATACAGTAAATTAGCACTAGTACACCTGTTGCTCGAATTCGAGCAATTGCAAAGAATTACAGGCGTTATTTCAAAACGAATGACAGTCATAATTTTCGATGACTTAAAAGAGTCAACTCAAAAATAATGTAATCAATCACTACACTCCGGTTATCGAAACTGAAAACGCACGCTCTTTATGTATCATGTGTTCATTATGAATAGCTGTTTTAGTATGCAATTAATAAAAACGTATTGATATATAGATTATTCGTCTGTTTAAGTAAACAAAATCTTTTCTTCATAAGAAATACATTGGGATTTTGAGTGGACAA